AGTGAAGATAGGCACATACAGGATGTGTCTTTTGTTCGTCATCAGCATGTCACTGATATTCCAGTTTACTCTGAGCCAGACCTGTGACACAGCAAACTGGTGGGGACGCCTGGACAAGGAAGGATGGTCTGTGTGCCCTACAACCAATACCTACCTCAAGGGATTCTGGAGAAATGATCCATCGGAAAGTAATGGTGTTTGGCTTCTGGAAGAAGGAAAGTGCTGTGCAGCAAGTGAACCCAGTTACACCAATCAACCTGCAACCTGTAGAAATGTAAACTGGTGGAGTACGCTGGATGGGTGGGTTATTAGAATACTTCGTTTTTTTAAAAAGAGCGTTAATGATGCAAGAGGAAAATTTGTAAGGGCATCGTTTAAACCTAACCTTTGATAGAATTTACCAAGATAACAACTGTTATGTTTGCAAAAATCTAATCATGACAACCTTATAAAAAGTATGGAATCGACGACTGTTCAAATCAAATCTGGAACGAGCACTCTCATTACGTGAGATTTTACATGTTGTTGACCTGCACCTGTGAATGTGTTTCTGATTTACTCCTCAATCTCTGTGTCTCAAAGATAACATACTATGACATTTTATTTCATTTTTAGGTTTAAGGTGCAAATGGTCTGAAAATTTAGAACGCTTATTCAATGTCTCAAAAGAGAAAATTTCGCACATAAATAATAAATGAGAGTAATGGAGATTGAAAAGAGAAAGCAAAGTTAATTTTGCAGTATATTGAAACTTGAAACATTCTAACAAACATATTAATGTTTTTTGGATTTCTTGAGATGATCTTTAGTGCACAACATTACTTGACAATTTTTTTACGCTTTTTGTTTCTAGATCTAATACGTGGGCACGTGCCCTTCAGGTTTCTACTTGGAAGGCATTTATATCAGTGCGCATTCAGACCCAAAGTTGTTATCATATCGAAGAGGCAAAATGCTGCCGTCCACAGAATCACCCAGATAGTTATGACGGCTGTTACGATGAAGATGTTACCATTTCGTTCGATCACAAGGGTTGGAGTCAATGTAAACAGGACGGATACTACATGGCTGGCTTCTATAAAAGCGGCTGCAATGAGCTTTACTGCATTGAAAAATTCAGATGCTGCAAGATGAAGAAAGGTAATCGGTTTCTTCACACAGCAGTCAGCTGTAAAATGATGGAACGCAGTCCAAACTATTTTTTTTCAAAATTGCTACTGTAGATCAATTAAGAGTAACGATGACAATCAACATTTCGTAAATGTGTTATTATACTACAGCAAATATGAGGAGAATCTATCGTGAAGAATAAGTCTGAAGAAATATTTCTGCCACGTCACTAAAAAAAGAAACATTTCTTTCTTGAGCTGGTGTCAATGGCGGATGGAGTGTCTGGGTAGACTGGGGGGACTGTAGCGCCACCTGCGGAGCTGGACAGCCGGAGCGCTCTCATACCTGTACCAATCCGCCTCCATCTAATGGTGGTGCACAATGTTCAGGAGACGACAAAGAAAAAAGACCATGTAATAATGGTCCATGCCCTGGTAAATCGCTGAATGGTATTGATAGTTGTCTGCAAAAAGGTCCATTTGTTTTGGACTTCATAATAGACCGATTTCGATATATCAAAATTCAGCTTAAAACAATAGACCTCAGCACGAGACTCTGGGGAATATACCTCAAAACTCTATAGTTATTCCCCGGAGCCTCGTGCTGAAGTCTATTGCCAAAGTTAGGCTGAATTTTAATATATCGAAACTGGTCTATTCGACGCTTACTCTCGTTCCTTCGAGTACATGAAAGCTCCCAGCTGGTGTTTTGTTTATAGACTCATGGAATAAGAGAAATGAGATCAAAATTCGCAAGAGCTATCAATGTCATTACATTGTATTGGCTAGAAGTGTAGTGGAAATACATTAATATTGAGAGAGATATTTTGTAATTTTGCTTATACAGAAAATAAATATACGTTAAGTTTCTCAAGCATCTTTGTATTGTTAGACATGATTTACAATACCGGTGCAATTGTGAGAACGCTAAGTGCAACACTTTTTAAAGTCACGTGGGTGCTTGAAAACATGAAAGGCCCTGTCGGTAGTCAAAAGCTTTCGTATGCGTGTACACAAATGTTGGGTTGTTTGGAGTAACCAGTGTTACAGTCAGCGTACAATTGTGATTTGTCAGAGTAAATGGAGGCTGGAAAGCTAGAACTCTCTTTTTTGGCTGGAGCGTTCTGTTTGTGATATGGCGTCGCATCACCTGCTCAACGTTTTCATGTTTTACACAATTAAAAATTCATGCTAACTTTAGACGTTTATTTGTGTGATTTACTGTAGTTAAGGGAGGCTGGAGCGACTTTGGAGACTGGGGAGAATGCAGCGCCACCTTTGGAGATGGAAAGCAACAGCGCTCACGCACCTCAGTGCACCAATCCCCCTCCGTCTAATGGTGGAGCACAATGCTCAGGGGACGACAAAGAAATGAGAACATGCAATAGTGGCCCATGCCCTGGTAAGTAGCTGAATGGTACTGACAGTTGTCTACAAAACGTTTCACCCATTTAGGAATCCATAGTCAGCCGTTTACTCTCGTTCCTGGGAGTATTCAAAAGCTCCCAGCAGGTGTTCTGTTTATAGACTCAAGGACTGAGAGAAGTGAAATCACAATTCCTAATAGTTATTAACATCATTTACATTGTAATGGCTATAAGTACAGTGATAATACATTCTGACGGAATTTTTAGCAATTTTGCTTTTACAGAAAAGAAACATACGTTAAGTTTCACAAACATCTAAGTATAATTTGGTTTACATGGTTTGCAATGCTCGTGCAATCGCGAGAACAACAAGTGCAACACTTTCCAAGTGTAGGTGCTTCAACACAAGAGAGACCCTATCGGTAATCAAATGTTTAAATGTGTGTGGACAAATGTCGGGTTGTTTCGCGTAACAAGCGTTACAGTCAGCTAGAATTCTAGTTTCTTGCCGCGGCACTCTACTAATGACATATTGAAGCGTCGCATCATCTGCTGCTCAGGGTATTAAGGTTTAATACAATTAACAATTTGTGTAATTGATGTAGTTAACAGGGGCTGGGGCGACTTTGGAGACTGGGGAGACTGTAGTTCCACCTGTAGAGAAGGCAAGCAAGAGGGCTCGCGCACCTGCACCAATCACCCTCTGGTTTTGAGTTACAAGTACAAGAAGTACTGGTACAAGAGTTACTCCTAAATTAGTCCTAAATTAGGACTGCATAAAAGGTCTACGATAAGATCAGAGTCAAAATGTGACTAAAATTTTCCTTGAGTTACTTACCAAATCTTTGGATAACTACATCATAGAGGAAACAGCAATTTTCCCGGAAAAACTTCCTATTTCATATCGGAACCGACAAGGCTATAGTTTACTGATGTCGCTTGCGCATTCAGAATGCCATTAAATTGTAGCTTTCTTTATTTGATCAGAGTGTTGAAACTGTCTTTTGGTTGGCGCTGACCAAAAGACACGTGGGCTCTGGGAAAGAGATTGCCATGTTTTAAACCAAGGAACGTATGCGCCGTGAAACCGGAACTCCTAAAATCTTGGAGTCTAGAAATTGATTATTCCAGAGCTCCGTGTCTCGGCGCTCACCAAAAGACACGTGGGCTCTGGGAACGAGATTGTTCAGTTCCAAAAATCCAATCTTATCTATCTATAATGATTGCGAGACAATCGATAACGTGATTTACCTACATTCTCTTTAACTGAAGTAGTGAAAAAAGTGAAGAAAACTTATATCGAGGACCTGACTTTGATATCTTGGCCTTTGTATTACTAATGCTGATGCTTTACAAGTAGCTTTCACCACTTTAGGCGTCTTTGCAAACTAGACCTTGATTTAACGTTTTATGTTTGGTGTAGTAAATGGAGGATGGAGCGACTTTGGAGAATGGAGCAAGTGCAGTGTGACTTGTGGAGGAGGCATCAGGAATCGTGCACGAACCTGTACCGATCCCCCTCCAGCGTACGGAGGCATGGATTGCGTTGGAGACAACAAGGAGGAGTAGGCGTGCAACACTCAGGCTTGTAAAGTGGAAAAAGGTAAGTAACAATTACTGCGTTAGTATAAGTGTAACGATTCCACAACGTTTTGGCCGGTTTTCGTGTGACGACGTCATTTTTCAAATTATAAATTACCAATCCTTCTGAAGTTTTAGTTTCATCAGATACAAGAACCTCGAAGACCTTGGCGTTTTAAAACATTTAAGCTCGGCAGGGTACTCCGTTTTCAAATAGAAGGCGTTTTAATTTCCAAGTTTATGCGTTGCGTGACATTAAGACGGCGACGAGTTATCGCTTGTCTTTGCTAACTGAACAGTTCTTTCACTAGAAGAAGTATTAACTTCAATGTTCTAGAGTAATAACTTTTTTTTCAGTAGCAAAAACTCAATGACAGGTGTTTTTCGTCACATACGGTCGCGATATTAGTGCCCATCTGGATGGGCACCAATATAGCGAGTGCAAAGGAGTGCAAACGCGTACCCGCGCTTGCTCCAACCCACCACCAATCAAAAAGTAGACAGAAATGCGAGAAAGCAACAAAACAGAACAAGAAATGAAACCTTGAACCCTGTCATACAAAGTTCTATAGTTTGGATAAAATACTAATCCCAATAACGCGCGAATAGTGGCAAGGATTGCGTTGGAGACAACCTGGAGGTTGAACACTGCAACCATAAGCCTTGTAAAGGGGAAAAAGGTGGCTAAAGGAAATACATTTACATTTATGGTCTCGAATAGAACTATTAATAAATAGCTCAAAGATAAATTCTTTAGTCAAACTAAAAAGCGGAGACCTATTAAATGTGGCACGAATCCGTTTGGTATCCATCATTCAGAAAATGAGCCTGTTAGAAAGGACTGGAAGGCGAAAACCAAAAAGAGAGATTATTACTACGCCGTTAAAAAGTATTCTTTTTTATGTTTCAACCGAAAAACGCGCTCCGAGTTGTGTGCAACACCATGGCTACGAAACAATTGATGATGACAATGATGATGACGGCGATGATGGTAGCGATGGAATGTGGAAGTGATGGTGCTGACGTTTATGGTGACATAATGTTTATGATTCTGTTGATGATGATGATGATGATGATGATGACGATGATGATGATGATGATGAAGGTGATAATGATGGTGATGATGATGACGATAATGACGATGATAACGATGATGACAATGATGACGATGATGGTGATGATAATGATGATGGTTACGTTACTTTGATAACGGAAAATCGAAGGGCTCCCGCTAGTAAAGAGATTCTTACTGAGCAGTTAACGGTTTTATGGAAAATTATTCTCTTGTTTTCTGCTGTTTTGTGTCACGTTCGCTTATCTTTTATCTCAGTCCATGCTCAAGAGAAAGGGAGGCAAGTTAGCTAATGTCAGCATTATATCACTTAACTTCCTATCATTCGTTAAATTGACATTGATCAACGTATCCTAATAAAGTAATACACAGGTTAACCGATCGACTAATTTGTTTTAATGCCATTTTAGTTAATGGAGGATTTACTCAATGGTCGGAGTATTCGGCGTGCAGCACGACCTGTGGTAGAGGAGTGCAAACGCGTACCCGCACCTGCACCAACCCACCCCCCTCGGGAGGCGGAAAGGGATGCGGGAGAGTGACACAACAGAATAAGAAATGTAATCTTAAACCATGCAAAGGTACGGAGATTATCAATTTTAATTCAGTTCAAATAAGCTAAACACAATATAAATTTTCCAATCTGTCTAAGTGGAGAAAACCAGAAGGAGGAACGTTTAATAAATATAAAGAATCTGCCTCCCAATAGGCTGATACGAGTCACGTGTGGCGTCAAATCAAGTAATATTCCTAATTCAATATCTATCGAAGGTTAAAACTCTTAAAAAGAGCAAAAAATGAGCAGATTCCTCTTTATATAAGGGCTATTACGACGCAGTACTAAACTCATGAATTGAGCAGCAAGGAGGGAGTTTTACTTTGTTCCCAAAATATGTAAATTGCCACTAACTTCCCTAATTTTTTTACCTTGATATCCATCATCTTAGACTCAGGCTCTCACAAATACGGGGAAATGACGCTCACCCATCTTTTATCTTAGTCATTGCTCAAGGGAAAGGGAGGCGAGATTGGCAGTATCATCAGTATATCACTTTACTTTCTGGCTCTGGTTAAATGGACAGTGACCAGCGAACCCTATAAGGTAATAGACAGGTTTTCTGAACGCCTTTTTTTATTTTATACCATTTAGTAAATGGAGGATTTACTCAATGGTCGGAGTACTCGGAGTGTAGCGTGACCTGTGGTAAAGGAGTGCAAACGCGTACCCGTACCTGCACCAACCCACCCCCCTCAGGAGGTGGAAAGAATTACGGGAAAATAACACAACAGACCAAGAAATGTAACCTTGGAAAGTGAGAAGGTATAGAGATTATCAATTTTGTTCTTACTGACATAGGAAAAATGGAACATAGAAACAAAAGCTTTTCTGACTTAGTATACTCCGAAACAAGTGCAGTGATATCCGGAATAAAATTTCTCAAGCTTAAACTCGATTTATCAAGTTTAAACAAAGGAAATCTGATCTTAATTAGAATATCTTTTAAGGATTTTATTTTTTCGTTTTCTCCTTAATTTTATTTTCGATTGAGAAGATTATCAAACACTCAATTCAGTGTTTGACCACATTTCCAAACACCTCGACGTAGCCAAAAATACTACACTACGCGTCGCATTTTCAACTCTCTTTTAGGTGTTTGGAAATGTGGTCAAACACGGTCTTTCGGTCTGTATAATGTATTACGTAAATGAGCTCCTGCGAAGACAAAGACTGTTGTACATTATTTTCATTCGTTGATTTTCTTTTTATCCTTTACATTTCCATTACGTTTTCCTCAAGAGTGAGATGACGGCGACTTTTGTAACAGTGACGCATTGAAAGCAAAAGCCACGGCAGAGAGATTTACCGCTAGTAGAATGTAGAGACTCGATCTTACCCAAATCTTTTCCGCTTATGAAGTATTATTCTGAGAGCCTGCTTAACACAGTTATCTGGATGATACAGAACCTTTTGCGAGTCCCTTTGGCATCCGTATGAGCCAGGTTCTACAGTAATAAAGCACACACTTGAAGGTTTTGAAATCGCACCTACCTTACAACGACTCATCACTTACTCCAGCTAATGGCATGTTGTTTTTTTGGTCTAATATTAAAATGTGATTTTATGGCTGTTTCAACAGGACTGTAGGAGAAAACAGAATCCTTCGAAACGCGAGGAGGTATTTCTTTTATTAATTTTCCTTGTGTATTCGTGGACATTTCCCATAATTAACGTGCAATAACCCTTATGTTGCGTCGTACATTTTGTTTTTGGAGAGGTTTGTTGTTTACAAACATCTTTCGAATAAAACATTTACCAAGATTTTCCAGTGCATGCCGGTGGAGATTGGGGCTAGCGCAGAAAGTATAGCGCAGCCTGTATGTACCTCAGGAACATTGATACCATAACACTGAAATTTGTTGGGTGTGTAACGCGCAGGCAAATCATTATATTCAAAAAAAATGTAACGCACCATTCTCAATGAAGCTTTCTTCTTAAATTTTGCAAGCTTCCGTTTTCTTATGTACGTTACAGTCCTGTCGAAAGCGACAACAGGCGGGTCAGCACTCAGCTAATTCCAGGAGTTTGGATTGGATTAAACTGTTATCAGCTCCTTCCACTGATTCTTTTCACTAAACATTCGTTGCACTAAACAGCTTTAATGTCACGTGTTATTCTTGCAGATCTTCGGTTAGCAGATCAAGCTGGAAACAATGGGGATTACTAACTACATTTGTGCATGAGGGCTGGACAATCACAGTTTGGGGCAAACTATTTCAGGGAAACATCTCCTTATTTCCTCTTAAGGAAGTTGGATTCGTGTATTATTGTTAATCAGGTGTATCTT